AAATACTTTGCATTACATTTTGAATCCACTACCTTAAAAGAGCTCCAATTTACAGACAGAAATGTCAAAAATGTTACAACTATCCCCGGTCTCCCCCCTCTGAAACCATAAGAAAAGTTTTAGTGCCACTTTTAATGGACACCCTTTATAACGAGTATAGCTTTTGAATATTTAAGCTACTGACTAAAGCTCATAAATTATTTGGTAACCATAAGAACAAAGTAGGAAATGTGATATGATCCAGTCAGTCAAAGCAGCTTTTCAGAACAAGACAACTTAAAAAGTCGATGGTTATAAATGAACCATGAGGAGGGGTGAAAAGTAAATGACTCCACACTGCTGTGCCTAAGCAAAGCAAACCCCCACAAGGAATGAGTGTGGCCTAATTTCTGATCTATCGCCGAAAAGAAGAACCTTCCGTCTTACTTATCTAATGGCTCACATAAAATAATTGCGGAAAATAGAAATACAAAAATAAATGATAATAGTGAGATGAAATATTAATGTAATTTCAGCTCATTAGTAAAATGGATATCACATCAAATGTTATATGTTATATCAAATATATATATATATAACATTTTAATGTTACATAAGATCAAAAAATATTTATTTACTCATTTATTGCTAATACTTATATTATTACAAATTATTAAATGCAAACGTGACTTTAAAGCAGAGCCTTTACGTTAATACTGCGGGACTGACTGAAATGATTTTGCTTTAGCAAATAAGAAATATTAATACGTTCATAACGTACACCTTTATAAATGTTGCTTTATCAGAATGGGACCTAAAGCCAAATTTTGATTTAGGTTCAATCTCCTCGAACCAAAAGATTACTACTCACTCTCCAGCCCGCTGGGGCCGAGGTTTGGCGCAGCAGCACTCCTGTTGGTGAGCAGCTCGTATTTGAAGCCCACCGTGCGTCTGTTCCGCGGTCCATCACTCTGAGGGCTGGCCTGGAGGTAGATTACGGGCTTGTGAGGTCCGTCTGCCCGGAAGCAGAACACCTGATACTCCGGCCGCCCGTTGTCCGTCACCAGCAGCTCCAGCTGCCCGGCACGCTCAATGAACACGCTGGCTCCGCCGAAGGAGGGAGACGGTTTGATGCAGATGGAGGTGTGCCGGGCGGAGGACAGATTGGGCTCGAGGACCACTCTGAGGGCCTGACCCGGGTAGACCCACCTCACCGAGCCCTTTGTACAGCGTAATCGCACCTGGAGTACAATCCTGGAATCCACGCCAGCTGCAAAACCGCTGGATTCGGAGGGAAATGCCAAATCAAATACTGCCTGGCACTGCATGGATGTCATCACTACTAATAAAAACTAAATGGTTCGATCCTTAATAAATTATTCAACCATATTAATCTAACAAAAAACTCAAATGGACCAGATTCCAACTTATTTGTTTATCCCTTCTGCATTAAATTTAAAAAGTCTGTCCATAAATGCCGACCATCAGATCCGCAGATTTAAATATGAATTATTCATTAATGTTCTTTCATCTACCAAGCCTCCTATTTTAATCCTCTTAACGGATTGTAAATGTTCTACAGAGCGAACGGTTTGAAAAAATATAAGTTACATAAGACAAGTATCAAAGCTTCTCCCCAATCTTTACCCGAGGAGCAACAGTGCACTCAGTGTTTTCAAAAAATCGTTTAAAGAAAAAAAAAATTCCATCGGAAATCAAAGTTCTTACCTTCCAGTCCAGTTACACAAATCAGCTGCACAGCGGAGAGCCAGAAAACACGTCAAAATAATCAGATTTGGCAACATCTCACCCACACAAAGATAAAAAACCCCAGAGAGGCTGGTAGCAGTGCATGGCTGGAGAGTTTGTCAGTGAATAAACAGAGTGAGGGCTTTCTGCTGCTGCACTCTGGGGACTGGGGGGGGGATTCGCTCCTGTGCTCTCTCTCTCTACACAGCACTTAGCATACTCTCCCCTCTCTTTGTTAACCTCTAATTAGGAGCGATCCAGTTGTTGGGTACTGCCAGCTCTTTGTCTTTGCTCTATATAGACACAATCGGTTTGAGGGCCCTCAGCCATCTGTTAACATCTTTGCGCTTTTCTGCACTGTAATTCATTCACTCCTCAAGTTTTACTTTGTATCTGACCGCCTGTAGTTCAATTCAAAAATGTTGCTTGCCATAAAATTGCTTTCATTTTCAAAAAAAGTTACAGTTCCTGGGAGGGGAAAAGCGTCTGATTTCAAATCCTCGACTGCGTTAAGAGAAGCCTGATCTCTGTATTGACATTCTTTTAGAGGCAGGCCATCTACAAACAGAAAGAGCAGGCAAAGGAGGAGGGAAATATGCAATGCATCCGAACTTGAGCTTCATCTAGTGGCGGGATGATGCACCGCAAGGTCTCCCCACATCTGGAAAGCAAAGTAAAGCCTGCTGCGGGCTTCTTCTGCAAAAGAGAGCGAGTGCAGGAGCAGGCTGTCCCCCTCCTGCCTCTAATTCTGCAGCTGGGTACAGAGTGGAGTGAGTCAATGAGTTGTCATAAAAAATTCATCCACTGAGGAGCTCTTCTGAATTTTTAACCTGCGGGGTCTTTGTGTTTAAGTAGGTTGGCACCCCTTTAAGGTCCCGCTGGTAGCGACATCTCGTGGACGTGTGCGGAACGTAACAGTGCGGACTGATCCGAGAGCTGGCGCTTCGTCAGTGTTTGTCGAAAACGCCCTGACAGGAGGGGATTTTGACAATGAGTAGAAAGCAGTCACAGGGACAGTCCCCCCATCAGATGTCGCCTCAGCTGCTAGAGAAGCCGCAAATATGGAGGAATCAAATCATACCCGACAATACAAGTGTGAAAATAGGCTTGGTAGTTTTTAGTCACTGTTTACTATAGGGATTTTTTAAAATTGTGAAGTTATTTTTCTGTTATTTTAAATACGATTATAGAAGTGTTCGCCGCACTTCCGTTTCCTATTTAGATATGACCTTGTTTGCAGCTTCAGTTCAACATTAGAAAACGTTAAAGAAGTTAAAAATAAACAAACAAGTTAAAAAAGAAAAAAAAGCCAAGAGTCAATTTCCAGGATCGGCTCACAGAGAGACAAAGCTAAAAAAAAACAAACAAACAAAAAAAATGAATGGAGGCTTTCTGTGTGAAGCGTGACCTCTTACAGTGCAGACTGGATCCGGAGGCCAAATGAACCAAGCTGCTGCATATCATTAATAATAATATAAAAACTATAATATCTACACGATCAATCCATAGCTTTAAATTCGTGCATTTTGTATTTTTTTTTTTATTTAATTTTTGATGAAATGTATTCATCGCTCGTGTTCTTTCGGGTCACGGGGTCACGGTGTCTGTGGTCATGTCTTCAGGCTTTATGTCCAAACCACAAATCACTCAAACTAATTACAAATGTGTGTCATTTACTGCGTGTTATTTCTTTATTTATTTTGACTAAATAAATTCAAACTGTTAACGCTAACACTCACTGACTGACTGACAGTGGCGTTAAGGCCTCTCTGTGTCCATATCGTAAACGCGATCTCATCTACTGAGATAATTAATTACAAAAAAGAAAGAAGAAGATTCAAAGATTATAACTTTTTATTTATTTATTTATTTTTTATTTTTATTTTTTTTGTCTTAGGTTTTAAAGCTCCACAGTTCATTTTTTACTCTCGAGTTAAAACCCTTTTCTATTTTTTTTTTCTATTGAATTAAATGTAAAAACTAAGTCCATGATTTCTTCGGCGTGACCTCAGGCCTTCACAGTATGAAGTGAAGTTCTTGGGAACGTAAGCTCCACCGTTTGGCTGCCTTGACAAAATTTCCAATCAAAATGTTTATTTTAAAACGATAATCAGATTTTATCTGCTAGCAACATTTTCCATGCCCATACAGGTCAGTGCTTACAAAGACTTTGTCAGCTTTCACATGTTTAATGATCTTAAACGTTTTAAGATCAGGACTTGATGCAAAATATAAAGTCGCGATAAACAATTTTGTGGAGACACTTCTAAATATGAATCTGTGCATTTCCTCTTTGTCGGGAATGATAAAACATTACACATTTTATTTACATTATTTTTGGATAATAATACACTCCCACGAATTAATATGGGCAAATTAATAATAAAAAAAAAAAAAAACAATTACAATAACCTCTGACCTTAATTAAAATCGCGGTGTTTTGTTGAACGCAGGATGGTGCAAAGCTAAAGCTAGAAATTGGGCTGAATCACGTACAAAACTTCTTCACATTTCAACCAAAACCACCTGTCAGCCAGCGAGAAATCGTATTTGGCATCGCTGTCAAAGAATGTTCCAGCTGAATGAATTTTAGCCAGCAAAGACCGCGATCAGATAACTCTGTTTATACTTGCAGAGTTTGTGTAAACAGTGCAAAAACAAAACTTGAGAGCGGGTGGACAGTCAAAGAGCAACAACAGCAACAACAACACTCCTTAAACTTCAGTTTGATTTTAATTTCATCAGCAGCGTATTAAATATCGGTATGTACACGTTTGAAAGTTACATAGAAAAAATATAGTATTACAGTAGGCCTGTTTGTTAGTAGCTTGTTACACAATTACATCCTTGGCAGGTTTAGCCTCCTCTGAACTACATGAAATACTCATCTTTTATCTTTGAAGAAGCCTTTGTCCGTGCTGCTCTCTCTGACGGTGACTGTCAGGAAGTTCAAGGTGACATCGGTTACGGTCACAGTGTCCAGGTGAGCGAAACAGGGGGTCCAGGATGAGGCTGGGTGCTCGGAGGATTCGTGGGTGGAATCGGTGTGTGAAGGTGAAGCTTGTTCCCGGGGCAGAGAGTTCTCGTTCGCTGCAGGCCGCTTCATGCTCAAACAGTGAATCCTGTGCCTCCCCCGCTCGCTTTTGCGCAAATCCGAAGCTAATGCGCACGGGTAAGAGAAGCCCGCGCCCCCCAAATGTCTCTGCTCGCTGTGGGATTTGGGTGTTATCGTGGTTTCCTCCTGAAACCTCTTGGTCAGCTGCATGAGGCAGTGATCTGACGTCTCCCCGTGATGATGCGGGTGTCGGCTGTGGTGAGACGTGGGCTCCTTCGTGAACTTGCTACGTTTGGCGTCCGGCTCTGCTGAGCTGCTGCCGTCGTCTTTATCATAATGCATGTGCATTTTGGGTTTGCGTCCTCTCTTTTTGGGGAACTGCTGGGACTCTTGGACCGTCAGAGCAGCTGCTGGAGTTGTTCTGGGCCTTCTCTCCGACTCTGGTGGGCGAATGTGGA